AATATCATGTGGTACATAGACTTGCACAATCAACCACCGAAACAATGATGCATCACGGAGTGTAGTCGCCCGCTAAATCTCATACGGTGCACGAACTAACGCACTCCGAGTGTAGTCTCCCGCTATCTCATGCGGTGCACGAACTAATGCACTCAAACACCCAAACAAATACACATCACAGAGTGTAGTCACCCGTAATCTCCTGCGGTACACGGACTAACACATTCAGAGTGTAGTCGCTCGTGTTCTTATGCGGTGCACGGACTAGTGCACTCAAGCGGAGTATAGGCATATCAACCTAATCCAAAATACAATACAAACAAAAGAGATGTGGAGTCTCGGTGCTCAAAGTATCCTGTGGCTCATCGTAATATCATGCGTCTCTCAACCTAACTTCGACATCTATGCAGAAATATGATGGGGAGCATAGGTGCTTGTAGTATCCCATGGGTCATCGCAGTATCATGCGGCTCACTACCTATCTCGACCATCCATGCAGACATATGACGGTGACATATGTAACTCGATACTTGTCGCCCTCACGTCGCCACAAACTCATCACATGGTTCACACACTCGAGGGTCTGTGCATACCCAAACCCAATATGTACACTCTCATGGCCACACACGCGTATCGACGTGTGGCCCGCGCATCATGTCTGCGACCAAATGTGCGAGACAACACAATACCCGATCTGTAAATACTAACGTCGTCGGTGAACAATAATTCTAACGGTGAATAGTAATTTCGGCGGTGAACAACAACAATCGTCCACACAAGTATTCGGAATTATTAAGTCTTAATCGGTAAACATTAATGCTGTCGGTGAATAGTAATTTTGGTGGTGAATAGTAGCAATCAACCACACAGTAAGTATTCAGAATTACTGTTTTAATCGGTAAATACTAACGCCGTTGGTAAACAATAATTTTAGGTGATGAATAGTAACTCCGACAGTGAACAATGATTTTAACGATTTTAAATCATCCAAATCATATATTTTCTTCATTTCAGAATTGGTTTTAAATCATCCAAATCATATATTTTCTTTATTTAGGAATTGGATCTAAAGTTCTATTTATCAATTTAGGGTTTAAACCATCAAAATTAGAACTAATTAGGATGTAGTTGGAAAAATATAACTTGCCTTTAGAAGAGGTTTTGATCTCTCAAACGGTTGATTCGTATGAAATTCATTCACAAAAGTTATAGATCTGGCATTCCTCTAGAATTTTGCTTCACAAAGTTTTTCAAAATTCGAACATAAAATTTTGGGTTTAGAGAGGGGGAAGGTGGCTGCTCACGTGTGAGAAGGGAGGAAGAGAGAGAGACGACACAGAGAGAGATGAGGGTTTATAATTTAAAAATTGGGTTTCAGTCTCCATCGTCTGAACGCAACGAAATTTTTTGCACAACACGGTCTTGATACTCTAAGAACAATGGTGCAAACCTCGTGTTCATCTGATCAATAGAAAAATTACTGAAAATAAAAATACAGTAGATTTTAGCAAACTCGCGATACCAAGGCTGAAAATACGAATCGATCTCAAATCGATTCCAATCTGATCCATTCATCCCAGAATGATCACATTTATTATTATTTACAATAATATTTTTAAATTTTCTGGGTTTTACACAAAAAAGCCACTTTAACACTGATTGGTACATTTGATATCATACGGTAGGCTTAAACAATTACTTCACTCTATAATGGACTTCTGAGGATTTTTTATCATTTAGAAACTATTCACTTGGAAAGAATTTTTTAGTCAATGAAGCGCTTTACTTTCAACATTCAAATTTTTCTCATATTCCTTCACAAAAAAAAAATATTTCTAAGCTAATCGTATTTACAATATTTGAACAACAAATCAATGTTTTAGTAAATGTGATTTGAACAAAACACTTAAAGAAGTATCTCATAAGATTTATCCAACAAAAGTATCTTATAAGAATTTATACAAATAATTTGAGATGTCTTTTTCTACAGATTACATACGCTAAACAATTTTTGTTAAAATAGTTATAAAAATAACTTAAACATCATCACACTTTTATATCTTCATATATGCATACAAAATATACATGTTTGATCCACCATTTAAATACTTACTAAAAATTCACTATTTGTACCATGCTATTACGTATTCATGAATAAATCTATACTACTTATGAAGGAGAAGACCCATGTCCGAACTTTTGATTTTCTTTTTTACCCTCCCTTTTTTTGTTAATTCGCAGCTATACCATTATATATAATTAATTCTTAACTAACGATTCATAACCTCTTCTTAACTAAGCACCTCTTCATTTTCCCTAAATATTTGGTCATTCACTAGAATATATTAATAATTTATAATAATAATAAAATCTATAAAATATATTATAATGTATTATAAGGAATTATTAATTATAATAATATATATTATACAATAAGTATTTAATAGTTATTGTACATGATTACAATTATTAATTATATTATTAATAAAGGCATAATATTACAAATTATTGCTATTAGTTAATAAATATTATAGTAAAATATCTTCATGGCATGACTATTTAATAATATAAAGAGTTTAGTCATATCAACAGTTTTTGCATAAACTAATTATTACATTATTATCTCTTAATAACATTCACTAGAATATATTAATAATTTATAATAATAATAAAATCTATAAAATATATTATAATGTATTATAAGGAATTATTAATTATAATAATATATATTATACAATAAGTATTTAATAGTTATTGTACATGATTACAATTATTAATTATATTATTAATAAAGGCATAATATTACAAATTATTGCTATTAGTTAATAAATATTATAGTAAAATATCTTCATGGCATGACTATTTAATAATATAAAGAGTTTAGTCATATCAACAGTTTTTGCATAAACTAATTATTACATTATTATCTCTTAATAAATTGTTTAATAACATAATAATATGCTAATTTAAATAACTATTAAATGAATTAGTTAATAATAGTATAAATGCAAATTCTATTATTATTGAAAATTGTCCAAAAAAAATACCTTAGTAGTAGTTAAATATACATAAAAGTAATTGTAAACAAGAGTGTAAAAATTCAATAAAATGTGTTGATTAAAAATGAAATATGATTTAAATTCAATTATTCTATTTTAAAGGTGGTTTCAAAGAAAAATCCCAAGAGTAATTTAAGGCCCCCCCAAGAAAAACCACCTTTAAAATAGAGTCATTTAATAAAAATTACATATGAGTTTCAATATATACATAAACCATGATCAAAGAGTTTTTTTACAATCATCCACCATGGCCTACTTTTTAATTAATTTTTCGGTAATTAATCTTATGTAATCTACATTAAGGATCATCTCCTAGGATACCCGGACACTTCATCTGGGTTGCTGTATCCATGTCTGACACTTCCCATGTTTGTGTCCGTGTTGGACACTCCTTGGACACTACTTGAGTACAAATAAACATTTATTTAGAAGTGTCCTCAGTATATAACACATGTTTTTGGTTAAAAAAAAAACCCTATGATACACTTCTTGAACATATTATCAAACACTCAACCTCGAAATTATACAGCTCGTTAAACTCGGGGCATGTTCGTTTTAGCACATCCCTAGTTCATAGGTATGATTTTAAAGGCTCATTTGGGGATTTAGTTTAAAAATGGGCGGTTTTCAATTTATAATGTACTCAATAAAAGAAACATAAAAATTGTGTAAGGATCTTAGTTCTCGTAACATGTGAATGAAAAACTATATCGATCTCATATAGATTATTAGTTTGAATATGTATGTATATAGTCGTGTTCCCATATCTTAACTTTTACAATTTTGTCGTATCCCGTGTTTGCACTTGTGTCCATGTCCACACCCGCACCCACACCTGTGTCCATGTAACATATATCATCTCTCTATTATATTTGGTATCTGACAACTAATTATAGGAAAATCGAAGAAAACTTGACTCAAAAAGTGAGTCCATGTGGTTGATGGTAATAAAAAATATTTTAGGTGGTTTGTGTATAAATTAACAACAAAGATGGTTTCTCTAGAATGATCCTAATTGAAAGATGCTTTGTAGGAAAGAATCCATTAATTTGTATTAGCTAAATTACTAGATTTGCTTATAAAATGACACTCATTTATCAATAAGACATAAGAATTAACACTGGCAACAACACTTATAAAGTGACTAAACCTACTTTGATCACCGTTTTTCAGATTTGAGCGGCCAAAATTAAGAACATTTTGCATATATACCCCTCAAGTCTCCCATATTTTCATGTTTAACCTCTAGATTTTACTATTTGTTAAACAACTTAACTATCTCTCTCTCCACCATCTTCATCACCTCCCCTCCCCTTCTCTCCCAATCCCCAACCTCCCCTCCCAAATGCCCAACCTCCCCTCCTCACTCCTTTCTCCAACCTTACCAATATTCCTAATCACTCTCCCGTCTTCCCTCACTCTTCCCCCCCTCCCCCCCTTCCCTTTCCCCTCTTTCCTCCCCCTTCCTCTTTCTCCTGTCTCCTCACAAACATTTACCTGAAGCGCAGGAGGAAGTGGAGGAAAGGAAAGAGAGGGGAGGGAAGGGAAGGGAAGGAGAGTGAAGGAGAGGAGAGAGACGTTGAGAAGAGTTGTAAAAATGAAAAAGGGAGGGAGAGAGTGTTCTTTTTGCAAATATTAGAATCTGGGGGATAGATTTGTAAATATGGGGGTTTTGAGGGTTATATATGCAAAAGTCCTTAAGTTTACCGCACAAGTCCAAAAATCAGCGCCTGGAGTAGGCATTATTGGTTAGGTGTTGTTAATGCCTTTAGTTTTTATGCTTTATTGGTAAAAGGGATGTCTTTTTATACCCAATTTATGTTAATGGAAATATGTTTCTTCCTTCTGACAAGTTACTTAGTCATTATCGTCACAGAAGATCAAAATTTTAGTTTGAAAAGCCATCTTTTTGAGAATCTCAAGTGTTTCTGATTTTATCAGGGTGAGCTCGCTCTAGCATTTGCTGAGTTACAGAGGAAGCTATGGGTTTCTGCACCAAGAGAAGATGTTCGAAGATTACTTGATATAAAGCTTGCTCGTTTTGCCCAGCATAGTGGGTTTAGCCTACAGGATTCGCAAGTTAGTGTATTTATTCGTTCTCGGAATATTTATATAGTACCATTAGTTGCCAAGGATACTCAAAGTTGGCCCATAGGTTTCTCTATTTGTTATTAATAACTTGCATTCCAACTAGCACTGACTTTTGTCGTATTAGTCTAGCAGCAGTGTATAAAGAATTCTCAAGTGGGCATAACACTCCTGTGTATCATTTTGGAGTTAATCTGCAAGACTGAGCTGACAATTAACAATTAAGAGAATATACTCAATTCTTTCTTTGAGAAATGTTGTAGAAGATTAATTAATTGTTTTATTGTGTCCTTGTAGGATATTCTCAGATTTCTATTGGATGGGCTTCATGAGAATCTAAACTGTGCAAGAGTCAAGAAGGATATTACAGTTAGGGATTTATGTAATTCGGCACAACATGATTCTATCATAGTTGACATCTTCCAAGTGAGTATTGCACGGTTTTGTTCATCATAAATTATAGGGCCTTTTCCCTAGAAACCACTTCAAAATAAGGGTCATTATACATAAACCACCATTCATTGCCATTTTATATATAAACTATGTTCAAAGTGGGTTTTTGTTTCAATCAATCACCTCTCAGTAAAGATTTTCACTGATAACCCTATAATACTCTTAAAGACTCACTTTCAAGTTATGCGACTCACTTTGTTGATGTTACGGCCTAGTTGGGATACAAGTCACATACCTTAACCGTGCAGTTTTAAGTTCTTTTAGTGAAAATTTGACTAGGAGGCAGTTGATCGGAGCAAAAACACATTTGAAAGGTGGTTTAAGTATAAATAGAAAATGAAAGGTTATCTCTACATAATGATCCTATTTTTAAGTGGTTTGTAGAAAAAAAGTCTTTAAGTTAAAAATTTGTCATGGTTTACTTGTGTAATGTTTGATGCCTCTGGTTTCACACAAGCTTACAGTCCAAGGTGAACGAAAGAATGTCAAACCTGTCATGCACCCACACTATGCAATAACACGTTTCACCATCACAACAATATCTCTAGTGGAGTCAACGACAAACAAGTGTAGGTACAAAGCAGATAGAATAATAATGCAATAAACATGATAAGGAAAAGAGAGAATCCAATAGTATTAATATCATGTTCCTACTGAATAAAATGAGATACAACTGAAAAAATGAGAAGTATCTCAATACAGCGAGTCAAATAAAATAGTACTAAGGCACTCAACCTTTACAAAATGAGGTACAACTCTAAATGTTCGAAAAATAAATAATAACTACTGTGGAGTATAAATAACTACTAAATATATAATGCTGGAAACTAATCTGCATCTCCATTAACATGCGACTCTTCGTGCGTCTGGCTCGCTGCCTAAAAAAAGGGGAAACAACGAGCGTCAAAGCGCTCGCGAGATCATCTCCACCGCCCCCAGGGAGGGGGTAGGAGTATATAAGAAAATACATGTTAGTACATATGTTAGTACATATAGATATAAAATCATCTATCCTGAACTAAGTGGAAATTGGTATATAGAAATCCACAACACGAGAATGGGTATGTCGAAAAGACGCTGGCTGTCTAGAACTATAGAAAAGACTTTGTTCCTGTCCAAAATTTGCAAGAAAGACCCTGTTTGTCCAGAATTGCATGAAGGACCTTGATGTATTCAGTAACAATGTTACATTAAACGCTGGGCGCTTCTAGGCATCAGACTTGGCGCCCAGCGTTTAGTCGCCTAGACGGGTGCCTAAGCGGTTTCTGGGCGTTTTTTTTTCTTTCTTCATTTACGTGATGATCGATGAGGTTTTGTTGAAGGCCGGAGGATGTAGTGAAGATGTTCATATTTGAAGGTTAATGGAGTTTGGAGGACGTGTAGGCTACGCCACATAAAATCACAATCAAGGCCTACAAGGTGTAATCCACGTAAACAGACAATGCTCTCCTAAATGCTCGTAAAATCTAGATGGATAGATTAAATACCGTCTAGGCGCTAGACGCTAGTTAGACGGTCTAGGTACCGTCTAGAACTAGGCGTACGTCTAAGCGGACTAGGCGGACTGTTTTTAAAACAGTGTTCAATAATTGTTGAAAAGACTCTGACCCATCAAGAAAAGGTCCTAGCTATGTAGAATTTTCAAAAATGTCCTGAGATGTGCAGAATTTCAAAAATGCCCCTAAACCGCTATAGAGATCATAAGATAGCTCTCAGAATCTACAGAAGTTACAAGATGATGCAAAAATTGCAAAAATATGCTCAAGAGAAGCTACATACCTCTACGTCCCTAAACTAGATAAAAATATGGTGTAGAAAGAAAACACATGGGATAAAATGTGATGTAAAAGAAGTGCATCACGCGATATATACTACGCAAAAACTTGTACACAATCAAAATCAAAAGGTTCAATTTTGCTATCCTCTAAGTCATTAAACTAAATAAATAGATATAAAATCTGAACAACAAATCAAATTTGACCTCTACGTCCCTAAACTGGGTCAAAAACCAAATTCGATATCTCCGTCGTTAAATTGAAAAATTCCAAATTTGGCCTCTATGTCATTAAACTAAGCCAACTAAAATCTGACCTGCATGTCACTAATCTGGAATCCTAAAAACCAAACTCGTACTCTACATCACTAAACTGAACCAAATAGCAAATTTGACCTCTATATCGTTAATCTAGATCAAATTCTAAACTTCACCTCCACATACCAGAACTGTAAAACATCAAATTCGACCATTATGCCACTAAATTGAAATTTCAAATTTAAACTACCATCTGTTTAGAAAGTCATCTCCTAATCAGAAGACTATAAAATCTTATACTTTAATAAGAAAGTCCTCTACTTGTCAAAAGGCCTAAAATTCCATTCTTAATAGAAAAGTCCTCCATTTATCAAAAATCCATTGAAATCCATCTATTGAGGAAGTCCTCTACTCATTAGAAATTCAACTTCATCTAATGAGAAAGTCCTCTACTCATTAGAGAATTCTAAATCAATATATATAGAGCAGGAAAGCCCTCTCCTCGTTACAAAAATCCAAATAAACTTTTTTCTAATGAGAAAGTCCTCTACTCGAAAGACACAAATCAAACTCGACTTTTATGTCTCTAAACTGGAAAAATCACAAAAAGTGGCTAAAATCAAGATAGGTCAAATCAAACTCGACTTTTATGTCTCTAAACTGGAAAAATCACAAAAAGTGGCTAAAATCAAGATAGGTTGTCTGGTCTCTAAACCGACAAAAGAAACCAAATGTAAAATGGGGGTATGCCTTTGGTTAAGCCAAGTACCCCAGAATAATTTGAAACGAAATAAATTTATTGGAAGCCATAAATCCACAATTAATAAAAACTCTTCTCAATGGTGAATTATGTGCATGTTTCACATCATATGCAGAGATGGACATTTTTAACCCCGTAGTTTCATTTTCACATAATTGGCATTGTCGAGATTTTTTGCTAGAGGTTTGAGTGGACGTAGTTGGGTTCGAGGTTCTAGACTAAGTTGTTCAGGTTCAGTTTGCTATCTCAAGGTTGAGACATGATCTACTGATTGTTGTAGGAGCCTAAGTTCTTCATCAAAGATTTAGTCAAAGCTAAGATCGGTTAAACTTAGGTCTAACTCAGTGCATTCTTCCTAAAAATATTCACTAGGTGTTCCCTAGATCAGATCAAGTTCCAGGGGTTGGTTAGCTGGATCACTAGGTTATTTTCCTAGATTGAAGATGTTCAAGTCTACATTCATGTTTCTGGATTACAGTTTCATTGGACCGGTCCTATACTTGATCAATGCATTAGTTGTAGGTAAGAATGGTCGCCTAGGATGACTGTAATCCGATCCTTGTGATTTAGAACAGGTTGGTTGCTTAATATAAAAAAAGTCAACTGGAAAGATGAAATCCCCAACCCTGATTAGAACATCCTCAATTTCTCTAATGAATGATGAGGACACTTGACTGGAAGATTTTTGAATCTATCAAAATACTTCCAGAATGGTTCGACACTAATTTGTCTGAACTATAATATTTGGTTCATAAGGCGTGTTGTTTTATTGATAGGATTTTTTTTTCAAAGGAAAGTCTTAACAAATTCCCTCCATGGTGTCTCCGGGTATGTTATACAATCATTTCTTGGTTCTTTTTCTAAGAGCAAAAGGGATATTGCATGCACCAATGAAACTCTCCTTTTTCCCTTTTTCTTAAGGTTGTTTATAAAGATCTAAGAAAAAGATCTATTAAAAAAAAGGAGAAACAATGTAAAGGAGCAACCACTTCAATCAAGTTATGGTCCTCTTCGCCAAATGTAAATCACTAGACGACTCCTAACCAATCGTTCCTTCAGACCATAACATACATTAGATTAATTGACCAATTGACTAGATAAGAGTAAGTACGGAGTGGGTGCCTACAGAGTGTAACTCAGAAACCAATTAAGTAACCTCATTTCTTGCGAGGACTTGCGAGTGGTTTTTTTCATTCTAGAGATATAATATGGATATATGGATGGAAAGCTAGCGAACTAGTAGCTATTTTTACCCCTTGATCTTCTTTTCGAGGCAATTGGATATTATCCCCATATTCTAACTCTAGACCATCTGATTATCAAGTTTTTTATTTTTTCTGCAATTGAAAGGTCTTTCCCGAGCTATCTAGGATTTTTCCAGGAATCTATAGGTATTCCTCTGCTTCTATCAAAGCTGCTTTCTTTTCTAGATCGGTGTGAAACGGGTAAGTGGTGTGAGAGTATGAGTTTTTGCAGTAAATAAGCCGTCTTTCAAGCTTGGAGGTAGCTCACTCTGACTTCTTTCCTTACACACCAACCGAATCAACCAACCTTAGAGCAAGTTCACCCCTTCAGATCTCTAATCCCCTATTGAGCTGGAATCTTTAGATGCCGATATCTAATAAATTTTAAGGTTTGCTTATATAAGATAAGTGATTAAGTGATTTTTGGACTAAATAACGGGTGATGATATCCCTCACCTTATCTTATTTATTGGGTTTGCCTGCCAAAATATTTTAAGTGAATGTACAAATGCTAGGTTCAAATCACTTTGGTGATCCTTACTAACTATATGCAAATGTAACCCTAGAAAGAAAAGAGCAACTAGCAGTGGATACCCTAATCAAATGTGAAAATTTTGACATATCGAGCAACTTATATTGGATAATTATATTGCATTTGACATTTTATTCTTGTAAATACTGATTTGTGAGATTCCTAGTAAGTTCTATTTCTTAAACTGAAAGAAAATATACAATCTAAATTAATAAAAAACATTAGAAGTGACAAGTAATCCAGATAGTATTTAATTTCATGAGCGGTCATCCAAGCAATTAAAATATGGATATACATGCCCAACTACGAGAGAAATATAGTGACCAGTAATAACTCGTCTTTCTTTAAGAGAAAACTTTGACTTGTCGTAATTCAAGTTTGTATATAACTCCTTAAATTCTCTTAAATATATGACAAACTACTAATTTTGTGGTTGTTTCCATTTTATCATTTTATGTTGTTAAAATACTCTAGAAATTTACCTATTGGGTGGGTTATTCAAGAGTCATCCAATATGATACAAGAAATCCACATAGAACTTTTAAATTAATTTTCTGCAGCATTTTACTAAAGCAACATGATTAATTAAAAATATGCATTAACACGAGGCATTTCTTGTATTATTGATGAAACAAGAGCACTTAAATGCTAAAATTTCTTATTATCTTTTCAATTGGGAACTTCATCAATATAATCTTGTTCTTCAAATTGATCATTCCTAGTAATTAAGGAATTTAAATTTTTTGGACCCTAGATGTTACATTATTTTCTTGTTTTTCTCATTCAGTTTTTTGTATTTTCTTGAAATTGATTTTAAATCAAACTTCATAAAAATAATATCTAGAGTATATTGGTTGACTACAGGGGGGGGGGGCAAGTCGACAGTAACTTGTCCAGAGTGTGCGACTTGCTCAGTCACATTCGACTTGTTTACATACTTATCTCTGTCGGTACCATCTATTGCTTTAAGAACAATGAGTATTACAGTCTTCAGTGGTGATACTTCTGGTCCTGTGTTGTATACTGTAAACCTACCCGAAGATGGAAACTGCAAGGATCTTATACAGGCTTTGGGCTACACTTGTTTTTTGAAGGACAACGAGACCTTGTATGTTGTTAAGGTATGTTGTTGCAATGCATGTAATTTACTTCTTTTAGATATATTAAGGGCAAATTTAGTATTGTTGGTGCTTACAATAAGCTCCTTATAAAAGCAACTTATAGAAGTATAAGCTGTTGAAATTAGCTATTTGATAATAAAATATAAAAAAAAATGTTAAAAAAGCAGTTATGGTGTTTGGTATAACTGTGCTTGCTTAATGGTCATTGTTAAAAGAAAAGATATGTGTGGTATATAAACTAAAAAAAACAGAAGATACTTTTAAAAGCATATTTAGATTGCTTCTAAAAGCACCTTCTTAAAAGCATAAGTAGTTTTAGTAAGCATGCCAAAAAAGCTTTTACCAAACAATAGTATTGACTACTTGGAAAAACAAATATGCAGAAGCACTCTAAAAAAAGCAATATCAAACTGGCCCTAAGTAGTTAGCTACGTATTTTCTTACAAAGTATGTAGGTTGATATGGGAGCTTTCTGCAGGTATATGCAGATCAAGTTCTTCACCTGGATGATACTTTGGCAATATCCTTAATCAGAGATTGTGACAGGGTTATAGCATATAGGCTACTAACAGATGAGGCAGATCTCCCATTGCTTACGTTTGTCCACCGACGTTTGGAGTAAGTCCTTTGATTCTGTTCTACTTCAAACTCTGTTTTTCTATTCAAACTCATCACTCATAGTACTTACAAATGAACTTATACATATTTAACTTCCTATTTCCTTGTAGCTATAAATTTCTGCCCATACTTTTTGCATTATGGCCTAAATATATGATCCCGAAGAATTTTGTTTTTGCTGATTTGACTTTTCCTTTATTTTTAGAAACTTAAAAGTGGTGGCTTGCTTCCACATAAAATGGTTTCTTCATAACTATTGAATAGGAAAATAATTTCATTAATTGGCATTTGTTTGCAAATTTCTACTTATCTATCTAATTTTTATATCTCTGAGTTATTATGGATAGAATAACAAAAAAAACTAAGGTTTTTTTAGATACCTGTCCCTTAAATATTCAGTAATTGCATATTGATTCCTTGAATCTTGGAAATTGCATAGTCCCTTAAATCCTGTAGGTGCCATCTGGCCAAGTATTAGGAGAGAAGTGTTAAGGAGAAGGGTTAACTTAGTTAACCCCTCATGAGGGATTAAAAATAATGTAAATCTGTTTAGATTAGATAGTTAATATGAAGGATTAAGTTTTTTTATTTTGTAAATTAAGAAGGGTTAAGGAGGTAACACTAGTTTTTTTTAAAACCAATTTTACCCTTATTTAGAATTTTCTAATAATTACTATATTAAAACAAAATCATCTTGATCTTACATATATTTGATCTATAAAAATATTGTCGTATATTTGTTGTTCAATTAAATGATTGTTGAGAAGGCACGTAAGGATTGAGATTATTTTTGCATGAAATTAAATATTAAAGAGAGATAATGATAGAACAAAAAATTCCTTTGGCTTTTTATTAATCAATAAACTTATCCAAAAAAAACGTTGATTATTCAAGAAGAAAAATAACAAATTAGTCAATAGTACTATATAAAGATTATAATTTTGGTAAAAAGAAGATAATAGAGAATTTATAGCAAATAGCTTGTGTTTTAAGAATGAAAAAATTTATTTCAGTAATAGCTTAAACATGTTTTCAAATACAAACATGTTAAACTGAAAACGATATTAAACTTAACTTGTTCAGAATGTTATGAGAATGCATACATGCAACAAATGTAGTGATGAGATCACTCATTAAAATTAAGAGATGCAAGATGATTCGAGATAAATGATAATCAATACACTATCTTGTATTCTGGTAACACATGAGCACATTGGTGTATTTGGATAAGAGAGAAGAAAATATCTCAATATATGGCTGCAGTTAGATAAGATATTATAAGGATAAGATAAATGTAAGATATTTCTGAAGATTAGCTCAAAATGACACTGCCTACCCTCGCATGAGAAGGCAGAACAAGTCTTGTTCCGCCTTCTCATGAGTATTAGTGGACCCGTCTAAATGACAGGTTCACTCCAGTTAACCTCCTAGAAGGGTTTGTTAAACCTTTGACTGAACTAACCCATTTGGAAGTCGAGAGAGGGGTTAAATCTCCTTAACCCTGTTCTTAACTCCTTGCCAAACGGGATTATAGGGTCTTGCAAAATAGTCTCTCAAGTTAAATCACAATAGATTTGAGATGAATATATCGTCAAATCTAACTGTTTGAAGCAAAGTGACCATCTTAACCCTATATTATGTTCCCTAAGTAGGGGTGTCAAAAAATATCCATATTAAAGGGAATATCCATATCCTTATCCTTTGGGATATGGACGGGGTTACTAAAATCTATAATCGATAGGATATAATAATGGATATGGTTAGGTAGTGAAATATCAGGATCCATATCCAAACTATCGAAATATATATTAGTAATATAGTTGCAACAGTTCTAATCCTCAAATTAATAGATTTGAGGTAAATTTTGATGATCAAGATGTCTATCTTAGCTTTTTAAAAATAATCAACATATTAATGAACTCTCTAGTATTATATGAACTATAATTTTTTTCAATATTATCTAGTTTCATATCCGTTTTGTATCCGCATGTATATCGGCTTTTATCTATCGACATGTATATCTACTTATATTTGCATGCATATTCGTCTCCGGTTATAGTGAATATGATTATGAATTTATCTTACTGAGGCATATGTGTATTCGTGATAGGTAAGCGGATATAGATAGTGTAACTATCATATTCAAACTGTTTATGGACTAAATGCACCCCTATCCCCAACTCATTTCTTACTAGCTTTATGCCCAATACCCGCTTGAAATAACCCAAATCCACTTGAGTTCTCCACCAATAGTTAGAAAAGAATCCTCACCCAAAGTTGAGCTTCACAATTGTTTGAAACATCCAAATGAGGGTAGTTTGCTAATAGCAGATGTTGCGTTTGGAGTTAATAACAATGGTTAGAGTTTGACTAAAATACTAACAAAGTGACCATTTTGCAAAACTCTATAGGATTAGAGCGACTGATATGCAATATCCGAGAGACAGATTTGAGGGACTAAGATGCAATTATTAAAGATTTAACGGACTAATAACTTAAAAACCCTTTTAAAACAGTTTGTGTAATAGTTTCTTTCAGTGGATTACTATATATCTTTAGCGGATAAGGATATGATACTTATTATATTTTTGTCCTGACAATAATATTATTGTCTATTACAGGCATAGAATTGGGAATATCATCACCTCAAGGAAGGCATTTGGTGTTCCTTTTGTTACCAGGCACGGTCTTAATTATAACGCATCCATAATTCGGCATCTTTATTTCAGGCTTTTATATCCATTTCTCCTATCTTCTATCCGTGGTGACATGAATCCAATCAATGAATTTGTTGGAGATGATGTTCGATTTGAAATAATGGGTGATAAATATTTATGATTGATATGGATAACCGTTTTCTCCTACAAGTCACGAATAAATTTCATGTGTGGGTCTGCCTGAAAAGGAAAGCACTAAATTCTTGATGAAACCGTTTAGATTCTTCGCAGAGGTTTACAAATCTCGATTCTTCACAAAGAGGCATCAGAAACTATTCCACTTACATTCATGTCTGGAAGCCTTTCTGGCGGAGAAGAAAACAAACAGAATGGTGAGCATATTACTGCTTGATTCAAAATTTTCTTCTAAAGAGAATTGCCTTAGCAGTCCACCATGTCGTGGTTTTAGACTTCACTGGCTTATGCAATCAGTTCACACGAGAGAACTACAAATTCTTAAATGCTTGCTAGTACCCAATGAGTGTGTAAAACGCTTCATTTTCTTTTAATTTTAGATATGAAGTCAGGATTATCAGAACATATTTGATCTACATTTTACGTAATAGTACTAACTTTTTTTTAATCAGTTTTCATTTTACATCTGAATTTGATCCTAACATTTTGAAAGAACACACAATAAACATTTAGTTGACCTGACCCATTGCTTATAAAAACTTTACAGTTTCACTTTGTAGTTTTCAGTGTTGCACTTTTTAAATGATGACGAACCCTTCAAAATTTCTATCTAGCTTCAAGAATAAGCTGTTGTTCAGGAGAAATATGTTTTTCTTTGGTTACTAATAAATGATGTTTTTTGTCCACTACTTTAATATCAAGGACAAAATCTAGCTAATAATTTTTTCTCTCTTACCGCATGTTTGGAATTCATTGGGATGCTACGGGAATTTAAGGGAAATAGAGGGGGGGTGGGGTGGGGGCCAGTATTCTCCTCATTTTCCCTATAATCAAAAGAAATTTAGTTCTTCTCTCAAATTGAAGTGGAACTGAGGGAAGGGATGCCTTCCCTCCCCCCTCTATTCCCTTTGAATTCCCTAGCATCCAATGAATTCCAAACACTGCCATAAGAGAAAAAATTTATTAGCTAGATTTTGTCCTTGATGTTAAGTAGTGGCAAAAAACATCATTTATTAGTAACCAAAGAAAAACATATTTCGCTGAACCAACAGTTATTCTTGAAGCGCTAGATAGAATATTTTATTAAGGGTTCGTCATCATTTAAAAGGTGCAACACTGAAAACTACAAAGTGAAACTGCTAAAGTTTTTATAACAATGGGTCAGTGTCAACTAAATGTTATTTGCTGTTCTTTCAAAATGTTAGATCAAATTCAGATGTAAAATGAAAACTGATTAAAAAAAAGTGAGTATAGCTATTACGTAAAATGTAGATCAAATATGCCATGATATATCCTGAACTTCACTATCTAAAACTTAAAAGAAACTGAGCGTTTTACACACTCATTGGGTACTACAAGCATTTAGAATTGTTAGTTTTCTCCATGTGAACTGAATTGCTTATAAGCCAGCTGAGTCTAAAAACCACGACATGGTGGAGCTGCCAAGCAATTTCTCTTTTAGAAGAAAAATTTGAATTCAAGCAGCTTAATATGCCTCACCATTCTGTTTGTTTCTCTCCCGCAAAAAGGCTTCCAGACATGAATGTAAGGAATATGTTTCTGAGGCCTCTTTGTGAAGAATCGAGATTGCTAAACTCTCTACGAAAAATCTAAACCGGTTTACATCAAGAATTTCTAGTGCTTTCCTTTTCAGCCAGACTCACCACATGAAATTTATTCTGACTTGGTAGGAGAAAACGGTTTATCCATTATCAATCATAATATTATCACCCAATTATTTCAAATCGAATCATCATCTCCAACAAATCTCTATTGATGGCATCCATGTCACCACGGATAGAGGATAGGAGAAATGGATATAAAAGCCTGAAATAAAGATTCGAATTATGGATGCCGTTTCACTATAAGACCGTGCCTGGCTAACAAAAGGAACACCCAAATAGCTCCTGAAAGGCCTATTGGTCGAACTTAACGGGGTAGGCCGAAGTTTCTACCTTCCCTCCTCCCCTATTCTCCTCTATCCAGCCATGCCCTTGAGCCAAAAATCTCTGTGCCATTGTACGAGGTCATATTTCAAATTTTAAGCTATTTCAAAATCTTTTCTATGTTACCAAAATTGTTCTGTACTATCAATAGTTGAATAACATAATATACTACTTATTCTAGGCGCTGTCCGGGCTACAAGAAGCTAGCTCAGAAGAAACAAGAAAATCTGGAGGCCTGCCGGATTTTCTGGTTTTTACATCTAAGATATTCTTCTTAGATTCAAATGATGACGTGAACAGAATAGTAAAATTTTCCAATTCACAACCTCAACTTGTCGGGCTATACTGTTCACGTTACTGCAGAAAATCGTAGATATGATCTAATATGCCTGTTTGCAGCCAAAAAAGCGCCAAAGAAAATCGTCATTGCACTGCCAATTGTTTTTGTAAGTGAGACTACTTGCAAGCAAAATTAGTCTCACTTACAAAACAAAATGCAGATTGCAATGACGATTTTCTTTGCGGCCTTGCTGCTGCAAACAGCATATAGATCATATCTACGTATTTTCTGCAGTAACTCGTGAACAGTATAGCCCGACAAGTTGTATGGTCTGTGAATTGGAATTTTACTATTCTGTTCACGTCATCATTTTGAATCTAAGAAGAATATCTTAGATGTAAAACCCCAGAAAATCCGCAGCCTCCAAGATTTCTTGTTTCTTCTGAGCCTGCCTTCTTGTAGCCCGGACAGCCGCTTAGAATAAGTTAGTATATTATGTTATTCAACTATTGATAGTACAGAACATTTTGGTAACATAGAAAAGATTTGAAATATCTTAAAATTTGAAATATGACTCGTACAAATGGCCACAGCAGATTTTTGTCAAGGGCATGCGCTGGGCATAGAGGAGAATAGGGGAGGATGGGAAGGTAGAAACTTCGCCTACGCCCGTTAAGTTCGCACCAAATAGCCGTTTTTCAGACAGCCTATTTGTGTTCCTTTTGTTTACCAAAGGCACGGTCTTATAGTAACGCATCCATAATTCGGAATCTTTATTTTAGGCCTTTTATATCCAATTTCTCCCATATCCTCAATCCGTCCGCTCGGTGCACATGGATGCCATCACATGAATTTGTGTGCGACGATGATAGTTTTCGATTTGAAATAATGAGTGATAATATTATTGATTGATTATGGTAAACCGTTTTCTCCCTAAGTCAGCAAATAAATTTCATGTGTGGGTCATGCTGAAAGAAAGCACTGTGGAATATTCTTGATCGTAAACCCGCTTTAGATTCTTTACACAGAAGGTTTACAAAATCTTGGGATTCTTCACAAGAGGCCTCAGAAACATATTCATTACATCATGGTCTTGGAAGCTTTCTCTGGAGAGAAGACAACAAACTAGAATGGTGAGCATAGTTAAACTGCCTTTGAATTCAAATTTCTTTCTAAGAGAATTGCTGGCAAGCTCCACCATGCGTGGTTTTTAGACTTCACTGCTCTATACAGATCAGTTCACATGAGAAAACTTGACAAATTCTAAATGTCCTTGTAGTGAGTGTAATAGTTTCTTTCAGTGGATTACTATATATCTTTAGCGGATAAGGATATGATACTTATTATATTTTTGTCCTGACAATATATTATTGTCTATTACAGGCATAGAATTGGGAATATCATCACCTCAAGGCAAGGCATTTGGTGTTCCTTTTGTTACCAGGACGGTCTTAATTATAACGCCATCCATAATTCGCATCTTTATATTCAGGCTTTTATATCCATTTCTCCTATCTTCTTATCCGTGGTGACATGAATGCCATCAATGAATTTGTTGGAGATGATGTTCGATTTGAAATAATGGGTGATAAATATTATTGATTGATATGGATAACCGTTTTCTCCTACAAGTCAGAATAAATATTCATGTGTGGGTCTGCCTGAAAAGGAAAGCACTGAAATTCTTGATGTAAACCGTTTAGATTCTCTTCGGCAGAGGTTTACAAATCTCGTGTCTTCACAAAGAGGCTCAGAAACTATTCCATTACATTCATGTCTGGAAGCCTTTCTGCGCGGAGAAGAAAACAAACAGAATGCTGAGCATATTAACTGCTTGATTCAAAATTTTCTTCTAAAGAGATTTGCCTTAGC